CGAGGTTCGGGTCGGACAAGCCAGATTTGCGAATTCCGTTTGAGGTAGGTCCCGACTGCCGGTCCGCTTACCTTTGAACAAATAAGTCTAATGGTCCCAGATTCGACGAGTGGATCAAGTCTTGCCCTCTGCCTTTGTCCAGATGATCACCGACATTAAAAACCCTGTTGTGGAGGCTTTTAGATTTCGCCCTCAGCCGGTTTCCGAGGAGGAAGCCGAAGCCAGTTCCAACCCAATCTCCCCCTTTACTACCGAGTGTATCGAGGCGTTTGGCCCTGAAGCTGCCCGATTCGGCGGCGGTGCTCCAGTCGCCCTCGTCTTTGACACCAAAAAGCCGCTCTGTGGTCTCTCGTCCCTCGGCCATGCAGGCTTCGAGGGCCTTACAAGTGGGGCCCCTGGCCTGGAAGACTTTGCAGATTTGGAGGATGGCGACGTCGTCGTCTTCCAGGCTCGCAAAGACGCACCGTTCCAAGGCGGGGCGACGGCATTGGGTACGTTTCGGAACCTAGTCTACCAGAGAGCCGTCTCAAGCGGCCGTCTACCCAGGGATTTGAGCTTCAAGTTTCTCTGGGTCGTCAACTTTCCCCTGTTCACGCCCGACAAATTGTCGGGCCCTGGGCAGGGTGGCGGAGCCGGATTCTCGGCGACCCACCACCCATTCACTGCACCGCTTACTGACGAGGATGTCGAGCTGCTGGCAACGAATCCCCTCAAGGCTAGAGGCGACCACTATGACTTGGTTGTCAACGGTATCGAGCTCGGTGGTGGAAGCCGACGTATTCATGTCGCCAAGATGCAGGAGTATGTCATGAAGGAGGTGCTAAAGATGACCGACAAAGGCATGGGCCTGTTTAAGCACTTGCTGGCCGCCCTCGGCGCTGGGTGTCCGCCACACGCGGGCTTTGCCTTGGGATTCGATCGTCTGGTCGCCGTCCTCACACACACAAACTCCCTGCGCGACGTCATTGCGTTTCCCAAGTCGATAAAGGGCGACGACCTTATGGTCAAGAGTCCCGGAAGGATCACCAACGAGGAGCTCAAGACATATCACCTTAGCATTGCGACGCCCAAAACCCAGGCGGCTCCCGCCGCTGGCCCCTCAGAGGTGCCCAAGGAGACGCCAGCAGAAGCACCCGCGGAAGCACCCGCGACTCAGTGAAGCGTGTTCTCTTTCCTCTTCTGTATGGCTGTGTACTAAATATCTTGTGCTTGTGCCTGTTGGCTACCTCGTTTTTTGTTCTGTCCGAAAGGAACGGTTTCATATCTGAATGATTTCATGTATTATTACCGTGTACAAACGACATTTCCATCCTCCATTACATGTTCCATATCACTAAGAGTTATAGTGTATTAATTAGGAGCCGCGGGAGGGCTGTGGTTTGGGTCTCTTTCTCTTAGCAATCTGAGGGAATGTCCGCTCTGGTCAAAAACACCCACGCCCGTCCCACCCGCTCGCTCGTCCCCTGCTCCCCCATTATGTGTCTTTCTTTTGTCTGTTCCAGAACAAAACAAGAGTAGGAAAAGGCGTGCTTAGAACCTGCCAAGCACGACGGCCACCAGGGCAAGCCCGCCGCCAACAACCTTGGCCCAGGCCAGCGCAGCGCCGCTCTCGGTGCCGCCGTTGACCTGCACCATCTGGGTGGGCCTCGCAGCGCCGTTGCCGCCGACATTGCCGACAGCACCAGTGCCGTGGGCCATGCCGCCGCCGGCAGCTCCGGCCAATCCTCCCTGTCCGTGTCCAGCCTCACCTCCAACCGCTCCAGTGGCAGCGGGCACTCCTTCGGCGGCGGTGGCAGCGGCGGGCGCGGCCGTCGCGCTCCACTGCGCCGCGTACGGCTGTCCATCCGCAGACTCGTACGCCTGCCACGACGCCTGCGCCGCCGCCGCGTCCGCCTCCCAGTTCGCGATGTTGGCCCCGTTGTACGCCGAGTTCCAGTCCGCCACGTTGCCCGGCGCGGGGATGGGTGCGGGGACTGGCGCGGGGGCAGGGGCGGGAGCTGCCATGTTGTTCATGTCCATGTCGTCGTGGCCGCCGTGCCGCTTGACGACGACGAGCGGGGCCGACGCCGGGGTGATGGCCGGCGAGTGCGCGTCAATGGCGCCGGCTCTGATTAGGTATCGGTGTTAGTGGGGGTTGTCTTGTATCCTTTGGGAGAGGGTAGAAAGCTACTCACCTGGCCTGGGCGTCGCTGGCTGCCTGCAGTGCTGCGATCCTGGCCTGACGCCAGTCCTGTTGTCTGTTTTGGATGTGTCAGTTGGTTGCCTGGTCGAAGAAGAAAGAAGGACGCGAGCGCATACCCCGCGTCGTCTCCCGTTGCGAGCACGCTGGCGGTGGCCATGCCGACCTGGGCGATGACGGCGGAGATCTTGGTGAAATGCATGGTTTTTTAATGTCCTGTGAGATGGGAAAATGTCTTAAGAACGGTTTCTAGTGAAGAGAAGGAAGGAAGAAAAGGAAAATGATTGGCAGCTTGGCTCAAAGAATGATGTTATATGTGGAAGATTGCTGTACTTGTGTCTGTGTCTGTGTCTGTGTCTGTGTGTGAGTGTTCGTGATAGGAATGAAGAGGAAAAAGGGAGTGTACTAGACTTGTGAATGGCACGGCTTATATGTACACTTCTTTCTTGCCATCTCTGTCTCTCTCTCTCGCTTGCGCTCGCTGTCTATTTTTACGACTTCCCTTGGAGCTAGGACTGACGGGAGTGGCGTCGTGCCCATGGGGCGAAGCGTGGCTTGGAGCCGGGTGTTTTCTTTCCCCGGAATGGGGATGCGGATGGGGATGGGGATGGGCAGAGGAAGCCCATCCCATAGAGTGCGTGCATGGCATGGCATGGCATGTGTCGAGGCGCCAACTTGCCTGCATTAGGGGACGGGGGGCAAGACATACGGGCGAAGGGCGTGGCCTGGCCTGGCCTGGCGTGGCCTGGCCTGTGGGCCTAGGTAAGGTAAGTAAGCAGCTCCGAGGGGAATAAACCGGTAGGATCTCGTCCTGTCTCTGTGAGCAGATTTGGGGGAGGTGGGTGCAGATCGACCTTCGGAGGACGGAGTGAAGTGAATGCGGGTCCGGCGTCGGCCAGCTAGGCCTCAGTTTGAGGGCGTCAGTGGCTTGGCTTGTGGCTTTTCTTTTGGTGAAGGGCAGCCGAAGAAAGTCGTTGGGTGCCCGCAACATGTGCTGGTCATTGACTTGGCGTTTGACGCCGTCGGCGAGCCGGCGGGCAACGAATAGCTTCTTCTTTTGCTGGCTTCTGTGTTTGTTGCCACTTTTGGCGACGGCATCCGAGGGGGGAAATCCTTGGCGGGCTGGAAGGAGAGAGAAAGAGCGAGGCCTTGTTTAGTCTGAGAAAATTGTCTGTTCGAGTCAGGGGCTGCTGGGCCGGCTCATGTGTACTGTGTAGTAGTGTGCTGGGAGAGGATTGAAAGCATTCCCGACTTGTGGAGGGCCCTTCTCGGCTAGGACAACTTCTATCTACGATAATAAGAGACAACAGGAGCCTAGAAGAGGAGTTGTGCGAGCTATTCCATCAGCGTCTCTCAGCTTCACAAGTATTGGAAATAGAGGAAACAGCAGCAAGCATGGGTCAAACACGGGCGGCCCTCGTCGCCTCCCTGCTCTTCCTGGCGCCGCAAATGGCCTTCGCCGCGCCGGTTCTCGCACCCGACCTGCAAGGGCCATCATACGCTCCAGTCGCAACAAACAGCACCGCCGCCGCTTTCTTCAATGGAGAAAGAGCAGCGTCATCGGCTTCTGCGTTCCCAACCGCCAGCCCTGGCGCCCTCCCTCCGGGGTTCTTTGATGACTTGGACGATATCCTCGATCACGCCGAGGAACGCGCGGGGCGCTTTCGGCCCAACAGCAATAATGGCGGCGGTGGCGGACCAGTTCAGGGGCAAGGCCAGGGTGGGTGGCAGGGTCAAGGCCAAGGTCAAGGCCAAGTCCAAGGGCAAATGCAGAGACAACGGCAAGGTGGACAGCAAGGCCAAGAACAGATGCAGGGACAACGGCAAGGCGACCGCCAAAGCCAAAGCCAAGTCCAAAGCCAAAGCCAAAGCCAAAACCAAAACCAAGACACCGGCCGCGGCCGCGGCCGCGGCACACCGCTGATCGACATCCGGCCAACGTTCAACGCGCCCGAATGCATCGGCCGCGGCATCAGCGTGTGCGACCCGATCCGCGTCAACCGCACGTCGATCAACGACACGAGGCAGCGGGATAAACAGAAGGGGAGAAAGGGGGGTGGTGGTGGTCAGGGGCGTGGACGGGGACGGATTCAGACTACTGACCGAGGGGGGGTCGGCGTGAGCAACGGGGATATGAGCGGTGGTGGCGGTGGTGGTGGGTTTGAGTTCGGAGGCGGCGCGAGCGGCTCTGTCACTGGCGGGTTCGGAAGCAGTGGCAACAGCGGAGGAGGGAGAGGATTTGACGAGGGCATCAGCAGGGGCGGATTTGGTGGCAGCAGCCAAGGAGGGAGGCCACAAAATGGTTTCGGAGGAAATAGCAGTCCCGGCAACGGCGGGTTCACGGGCGGCATGAACGGGGGCGGTAGAGACGGCGGGGTCCGTGGAGGTGCCGGGCCTCAGAACGGGCCTTTTTTTGAGGGTGGCAGAGGGAATGGTGGCGGTTTCTATTAGACCTAGGTAAGGTAGTTCAAGAGGTTGTTGCAGGTTAACTATGGCATTATTGTTGATTACCCCCTGACCCAAAAAAGGGGGTACACGCACCAGTCCCACCAACCACATTTGCTGTTTGTTTGTTTGTTCTCTTGCACCCCCTCTCGCTAAAGCATTCTACCATTGTGACATTCACAATATGCAGATGCTCGTCGCGCAGCCATTTTATTTCCGTGTCATAATTACGAATGCCTACGTAGTGAAACTCTCCATGTCCATCCAGTCTCCACCAACAAGCCAGAATATCCACAGGCTGAGAGGTGCCCGTACATGTTCGTCTACCGGGTGTAGTCTCCATCAACAGGCGACAAGACCCGCCTGAACAAGCAAATCCCTCGTGGCGCAATTGGCTAGCGCGTCAGACTGTTAATCTGGAGGCTGATGGTTCGACCCCATCCGAGGGAGTTAGTGGTTCAGGAGGGAGCAACGAGTTGTCCTCTTCTTTTGTTTACTTGATTTTTTGGTTGTTCTTCATAGTCCCTTTCTGATGGGCGCTGTTGTCGGTCTTCTTTTGCATGCTGTACTGCCTGCAACATATCAGGGACACACTAGACATTGGTTGGCTCGAGTCTATATACGAGTCAGTTGCGTGTCAAATCTCAAATAACATTCGTCCCATCTCGTCACCTAACAATCCGCAACGCATGTTGTAAGTCCAAATGCCAAAGACTTAACACGCACAAGATCTCGAGGCATTAATTCACTCTTCATTTTGTATTAATCGAGAGAAGGTATAACGCGTCGTGTATCAAACATCTGCATATCTGCAATCTCTAGAGTCAAACCAAAGTCACGGCTTTTCTCTAATCCTCTCTCCTTCTCCTGTGACCATTTCCTCAAGGTTAAGGAGACGACCACAAAGTCTACAATTTACAAACCACAACTCCCGAAAACAAAGCAACAAAGGCAACAGCGCTCACAGCGTCGACGCCTTGACCGTCACGCCCTCCTTGGGCCGTAGCACCAGCCGCCACATCTTCCACTCCTCGGGGTCCGGCGTGTCAAAGTCGCGCTCGAACTCGTACAGGCTCAGGAGGCAGCACAGCAGGATCTTCATCTCCGTCTCGGCAAACTTGCGGCCGATGCAGCCGCGGGGGCCCTGCAGAAACGTCATGTAGGCGTTGGGCACGACCGTGTCGGGCAGCGCGTCGAAGCGGTCCGGGTCGAACTCATCGGCCGTGTCGCCCCAGAACGACGGCAGCCGGTTGATGGTGTTGGCGAGAACGTAGATGACGGTGCCGCCCGGTACGCGGTATGGCCCGATGGTGTCGTCCTCGAGCGACTGCCGCACCGTCATGGGGATGGGCGGGATGTACCGCAGCGACTCGCGGCACACGTTGTCCATGTACGGCAGCTTGTCCGGGTCCGCCGCCGCCAGCAGCGCCTCGTCGATGCCGCCGCCCTCGTGTCGCGCGCTGGCGTCGAACAGGAACGGCATGTGCTCACGAATCTCGTCGCGCAGCCGGCTCTGCACCTCTGGGTGTGTTGACAGCAGGTGGATCGTCCACGCGACGCCCGTGGCCGTCGTGTCGTGGCCGGCGCCCAAAAACGTCATGATCTGGTCGCGCATCGTGTTGAACGACAGGCCCGGCTCGCCTGCCTCCTTGAGCTTCTTGTTCTCCTTGGCGATGAGGGCGAGGATGTCCTTGGCGCCCGCGTTGTTCTCGGCCTCGTCGAGCTTGGTCGTGATGATCTCGGTAGCCTTGTCGAGGATGATGCCGCGCGACGTCTCCATGTCGCGGTTCATCTTGGCCGGGATGTGCTTGGACGCCGGGATGAAGGCCTGCAGCCCGTGCAGCAGCCGCGAGAAGAGGTCAAAGGCAAACACCAGCCGGTATGCCTCGCGGATCGGCACGTCGGGGTCCTCAAGCGAGTTGATGTCGTACCCGAACCCGGCCTTGCCGATGATGTCGAGCGTGCACCGGTTGAGCCACTCGAGCACCTCAAACGACTGCGTCGTCACCTTGGCCGTCTCCATCTCGTTGCTCCAGAGCTTGGACATCAACAGCGACTTCTCCCAGAAGATGGGCGTCAGGGCCCGGATCGACTGGATTGAGAAGCCGGCCGTGAGTGCCTTGCGCTGGTGCACATGCTCCTGACCTTCCGACAGCAAGATGCCCTCGCCGAGAATCCGCACCATCCATAGCTTGGCACGCACAGGCTTTGGGTAGTTGTAAGGGTTCTTGACCGTCATGTGCTTGAGTGCCTCGTCGTCTGCAATGGAAAGTCTCTCGGCGCCAAAGGGGAAGAAGTATCGGATGATGGGGCCGTGATCCTTGTGCCAGCGGCGCTGGGGCACGCCGCACTCCTCAGTGATAATGGTGAAGAACTGGCCCCAAAGGGGGAAGCCGGGCACCGTGGGCACGTGTCTTAGCTCTGAGAAGTAGAGGGGATAGAGATAGCTCAGCCAGACGAAAATGTAGAAAGGCACCGCTACCGTCCAGGCTGCCGAGACGGTCTGGAAGAGGGGGGCGTCAAACTTTCTCGCATATACAACAGACGCTGCCGTTGTTGCTGCAAGGAACGGGCCCATCGTAAGCTTCTCAGCCATGTTGGGCACGATACCGGGACTCGGGGGAGCAACTTTCTGAGACATTTCTTTTGTGGGAGGATAACCAGATATCGTAGCAGATTCTGCAAACGGTGCCTGAATTTGTATCCCGCTCGACGAGGTGAGATACTGGGCCGGTGATGCAAAAGATACTGCTGCTCAGACGGATCGGCAACCAGATTATATACGCCATGGTTGGATAGGTGAGCTTGAGTTGCTGCCGTAACATCATCACTGGTCTTGTTGGACAATGGAGGTGCCGAGACAAGGAATGAGTCGCCTAGTTTGTCTCGGGCCTGCTAGTTGAGTGTGTTCTGAGTCGAATGTTTGTCGTTCAGCGCGACTACAGGTTCGATTCAATCCTGTACGTCCAATTCACCGCTTATCTCCGCCAACGCACGACTTGGGAAGTAGTATGAATGAAAGGAGAAACATTTGTAGTCCTCCCAGTGAGCTGGAACTGATAGGAGCCAATGCCATCAAAGGAAGGACCGCATTAGATTGGGATTTGATCGACACGAGGCCCGGCCTTAGCTTGACAGCGATTCCTCGATGGTAGGACGAGGCCTAGAATTTCTGACAGGCCTTAGTGGCACCGCGTTGTGGTATGACCTGAAATTGGACAGGGTAATAGGATGTGGTTGTTGCGGATTCTGGTACGAGATCTATCTTGCTCCTGTCACATCATCGCTCAAGCATGTTACGATCTCTGGACGTTTAGCTTTGATGGATGAGGGATCTAGGAAAGATGAAGACTCTGGTGCGGCTCTTTGTGTATCAGAATCATGTATGGAAACCACACCTTGTCCGGGTGGCACAATGTGAAATGGGCGTGGTTTCTAAAGTGAAATATTGTTTGACAGTCCATGGAGCGACTATTGACTTTGCAGAGAATAGCCCTATCCTACTTGGCGTCCAGCTGTTTCGGATGTTTGTCTTTCCGCTCTTGTTTGGCTGAGCCTACTTTTGAAATCGAGGTGCAAGACAACTCCACTCTGCAGCAGTTTCCAGAAGGTATCCTAATATGCATTTGACCCGGATCAATGGGTTGATTGACGACCCAGAGGGCCCGGCCGTTGGAGTATGGAACCGAAGACGTGCAGCCCCATGCATGCAGATCAAAGCCACCGTCAACCGGGAACGAATGTCTGCGACATTGACTTGGGGCACAGCCCGCTTTGCCATTGCTTGTGGCAGCCACTTGAGGGTAGACCACCGGCAGGTCTGTGGCCAAGGGCAGCCTCGTCACATGTTGGGCTTGGGCGGCCATGAATGTGCCACATGTGACCGGAGGAGACTCAACACTCGAGTCGTTACGCCTGTAATGGCTTGCGCTACTGGCCCGCCGTCGGCTCCGACCCGGACCCGGTCTGAGTCGTAGAAACGCCGCCGGTCTTCCGGAACGACTGGCTACGACCGCTCTAATCTATTTTGACCCAGAACGCATGGCAAAACTTTATCTGCGCCGTGATCTGCGAGAGTTACTTCACATGCTCTAGGCCATTCTCAAGCTATTCGAGTAAGCGTGTCAGGCAGAAATGGCGTCCTCGGGGTTTACAGTAGCTGGGACGCCCATTTCCCCCTCTCTTCTTAGCCTTCGTCGCGTTGCGTCAAGTCGAGAGATTGTCGCAGGTCTAGAGGAGACAAAAATAGGAGAGACCGGAGTTGTATGCGCGGGGGGCCTTCTGGTAGTTGCAATGTGTCTCGCGGCGACACGTGAAGACAATAGAGATTCCTCCACAGGGCCCTTGCAACCGACAAGCAAAGAGGAACCTCGACTGTGATTCGAAAGATTCCGGAAAGACAGCCGTATTGGAGTACAGGATTGCTTCTCGTCTAGGCTCGTCGTCGCCGCCATCTCATCACCATGGATCGAAGAAGCAAGGGGGAGAAGTGGGAGCTTCCTTTAGAGTCGCCTCCCCAGATCCCCTCGCCCTCGTGGCAGCACTCACGCGACCAGAGTGCGACAAGCTCGGCCGCAGGGCTGCGTGAGTCTCAGACAGAAGAAAACCCAACCCAAAATGGCGGGGACAGCTCGAGGGAGGCAGGGAGCGGCGTCAGCCCGCAGAGTCGACCGTCACGCAACCCTCCCCCAGTCCGGTCCAAGACACAAAGATCAAGGAACAGCGACAGGAACCAGTTCATGGAGGACGTGCTTGGCGGCTCGCTGCGTCATCTGGCCTCGGCACCACCAACACCAACAGACTCAATTACGAAGAGCGGAAGACCAACCACGCCCATGCGGGAGCAGCGGCATCCTAGAAACCCTGGAGCGAAAGCCCATCAGTCGACGAGGCAAGTCGATTTGGATAGCCTGGCCACTCCCCAAGAAACCGAGAATAAGGCGGAGGCCGATGTGACGCAACGACGGAGAGATCCTGGTCCTCCCAACGACGCCGAAGCGGATTTCATCACAGGAATTCCCCTGATGTTTCTTATGGTTGGCCTGATGCTGGCCGTATTCTTGATCTCCATCGATCGGACCATTATATCCACGGTAAGGGAGGGACGGGCGAGGGAGTTCTTTCCGCTGCTGTGCGCTGACCTCTACTCGCTCAACCCAACCAGGCCATCCCGTACATCACGCGCGAGTTTCAGTCGACGCCTGACATTGGCTGGTATGGCTCGGCATATCTGCTCACTGCGTGCGCCTTCCAGCCTGTGTTCGGTCGCATCTTCGTACTGTTCTCAGTCAAAAAGTCATACTTGCTCGCCATGTTCTTTTTCGAGCTCGGGTCGCTTCTCTGCGGTGTTGCCCCGGACTCGATGACTCTGATTATTGGCCGCGCCATCGCAGGATTTGGGAGTGCGGGTGTCTTGACGGGAAGCTTTGTTGTGGTGTCAGCAGCGGTTC